CTTAAGTTATGTTCATTTTCTTAAGTCCGAGGCTCCAACAGATCTTAAGTTGTGTGCATTTTCTGCTTAAGTCCGAGGCCCATACAGTTATTTAGTTCGTGCGCTTATCAACTTCCAGTTCGTTTGTTTAAACGAGGCAAAACTTGGGTAAAGAACAATCATGAATGAAGAAAAACATTATATTAATATTTAAAAAGGATTACAACGGAGGGCCTCTGGCCATTACACAAAGTACTGAAAAGGAAAACCTAATCTAAACCTGGCTGGATGAAGGTGGCGCCTCAGCACTTGGGGGTTCGGCAACCTGGGCATCAGTGGTTCCTTCCCCTGCCTCAGCATCTAGGGCTTCGGCATCAGCTGCCTCGTCACCCTGCACCTCCTCAACTAGGGTCTGAGGAACCTCATCCACAAATTCGGACCTAAGTTGTGCCAGGTCCAAGTTTGGATAAAGCTCCTCTGCCCTCTCCAGCACTTCGGCATAGGCGAAGTTCCTCCAGTACGCGCTGAAGCTTTTATACTCCTCTGTAGTGTGGAAATTGGCGATGTATGCCCTCACCGCCTCTTCCGCTGCATTCCGGGCCTCTTCTCTGGCAACCGAGGCGTCGTTCATGTACCACTTCGCCTGGCCTTCGAGAAACTGATTGGCATCACGAGCGCCGGCCAAGGCGAGATTCGCCTGCTCCAGAGCCTCGGCAGTCACCTTTTGGTGCTCATTGGAGACCTCCACCTTCTTCGTCAGAGAGGCCACCTCGCACTGAGACTCATATACTTCCCTCTTTAGGGCCTCAATTTGGGTCAGGGCGGACTCGAGCTTCGCCGCTTCTTCAGCCCTCTGTGCTTTGATTTCTTCGGCCTCGGCCTTAGCAGCTTTGACCTCCTCAACGAGCGAAGCAGCTTTCCCCTCCGAGGCGTGAGTCCTTGTTTGGAATTCACTTAATGCCTCCCTGCATTCTAGCGCGAGGCCAAAGGTCCGGGCGCTTTGGCTCACCAGTGCCCTCGTGAGGTCGGTGGCATCACAAGACGAGGCATGAAGCTGCCACCTCTCCGTCCAGAACTTGTAAAAGCTCTCGGTGGCACCTCGAATTTCCTCAGGGAGAGCCTCCACCAGAGCTAGGGCCAGCTCATCCTCCCTCCCAGCTAGGAAGTTTGGAGACTTCCCCTTCTCCCGAACAGGCTTCTCCTTCGCCACCTCCTCTTCGGCTGCCTCAGCAGCTCGCCTGGCAGCCTCTTCCCTGGCCTCTTCAGCCTCCACCTCCCTTACCATCTCCATTTTGATGGCCTTAGAGGCTGCAGCGAGAAGCTTCGGCTCTCCAGTTTGTTCTGCCCTATGGGATACTGAAGTCCCAAACTTGCCAGCTGAGCTGGAGATGTGCACCAGCTTCCTCTTCTTAGTCTCTTCAGAGACTTTCTCCTTGCCCCGAGGCTCCTTGGGCTTCTCTGGCCTCTGAGTAGATGCATCTTCCGAGGCCCTGGGAGTGCAGTCCTTGGACAGGCGCTCAACCTTGCCTCGGACCTCCTTTGCCCCACTAGACCCGGGTTTCAGAGGCCTCGCCTTCGCAGTAGAAGTGGCCTTCAAGATGGAGGCC